TTCAGCCGGTCTTTCTGCTGGCTCAGTCGCTACACCGCGGGTCTTCGGAGTCATCTTCATGTACTCCTCTAGCTTCCAGTCCACGTTATCTAACGGAACCTCAGTCGCGGGTATGCACGTGTAAAAATAAGAGGACTTTTACATTGGCAGCTGCATGCGGCATGAATGCGATCGGCGGCTTGAAGAACAGCAGCAAATAATCGGTGTTGCAGCCCACCAGGACACCCAATCTCGCGAAAGGGGTGGACTTTATCACTTGCAGTGTATCGCAAACGCGTGGCCAATGCCTCTTGCATGGTGTGAAGAATGAGGATGTGGAGATCACTCCCCGGTCGACTGTTGTTGTTACTCGACATGATGGTAAGGATCACGATGAAGATGTTCTGAGCATGTTTCACGAGCCGTCTTCTATCTGTTGCATCCTGAACGACAATAGTCACGATTGCGATCGATTAGACAATATGTTGCACACCGGTAACGGATGTTTGCTCCGGCATTGAGGAAGCTGATCGGTGTTCGAGTGCGGTAGTCCAAACTGTCACCGGAAGTGTCCATGACACGCTCGGCATTGGACATCTCGGCACTCAGTCTGCACGCTGAAAGTGTTGTGCCCTCTCGAATGTTCAACACGTACGAAGGGAGTGCACATTCAACGCGTACGAATGGATCACAGAGGTAATCTATTGCGAATATTGTCAGCGTATAAATTCCGTCGCGTCAACTGCGGAACAGTATCGTACGCAAAGGTTCGATGTTGCTGTGAGAGCGACTGTGAGCTTCTCAAGCACTCTCTTACCTCCCACAAATGTTTTCTCATGTGGTGTAACGGCTTTCCTTCCTACAGATGGGCAATGTACATATGCAACAATCGGTATGCGTTCAACTGTATGTCAAACCAGCAATCACGTACTCGAATGACTGGCTGAATGAAAGAGATATCGTCAATGGCACATATCGTTCATTTTGTGACATTTGTTCTAAACCCATGAAACATAGTATAGCGCAGCGTGTGAGTACAAAGGGAAGTGTGTAACCTCAGATAATGGACGCCGTATGCCGCTGCGTTCCAATGCCGAAAAAACCTCGGTGATCGGAACAGGTTGTGGTGAGATATGGCACATTGTTGCGTTTGAGAGAGGGAACAGGATGTGAAGCCAGACGACTTCATGGCAAAGCACTGTGTGGGCCCCAATTGCATATCTCCACCAGTTCGAATCCGTTCAACATCATGTTTGCTGCATAATGTACATACCTTCCATGTGAACATGTTCCAAATGCTTCTATTATAAAATATTGCATGGAGTCATCACCAATGCATATGTTGTGAAATAAAGACATATGCAACAGTGGACGCAGTTCGATAGAGAACTTCGTGAAACTGGGCGACTTCGTTCTAACGGTGATTTAAAATATCCTAAAGTTGTTGTCTCATACTAGGAACGCCTGAATCTTATGAGGGACAGATGTGTGCTTCTCTGCTACACCAAAAACAGTATGTATGTTTGCCATGCATTGGCAGGTGCGAGCACTCCCTGTTTTATCCAGAGCCATTAGCCAAACACGATAAGGGGCTGATCTGGTACCCTCCATCTGTGAACGAGTACGCCAGCGTATGGTGATCTCTATGTCATTTTTTCATGACATATCTCGGGGGCGGTGATCGCCTTTCGCTAAACCTACCAAAGTTGGCCACACACACTAGAACATTGTGCCACATCGTCCAGGGAGGTCGGCATGGGTGTATCTAACTTTAGAGTGTATGTACATGCGTGCTCAGCAGGCTGGACAGAAAAGCGCCCGTGCAAGTAGAGGTGCCCACGGACTACTTCGTTTGGGATAAAGTGTCTTCAAAAATACGGCTAGTCGGCACAGGCACACTTTACAACGTTTAGCAAAGACCGCAGAAGTGATTGGTCTTTGCCGAAGTCGCTGCGGCACTCTGAGTCCCCGTCTAGGATTTACTACCGACAGGGGTAGGGACTGTTACTGGGGTGCTCCGAGATTACCGAGCAGGGAACACGGCGTTCGGTAATGGGTCCAGAAACTCGGCACTCACGCTCGGAAATTGATCGCTGTCTCCGAATGACTGCCGACATAGGTCGGGAGTGTTACCGATAGTGCTCCCGGAATACCGAACGAAGAATATGGCCGTTCGGTAATGAGTCCTAGAACTCGGCATTCATGCTCGGAAATTGATCGCTGTCTCCGAATGGCTGCCGACCTAGGTCGGGAGTGTTACCGACAGTGCTCCCTGAGTGCCGAACGAAGAATATGGGCGTTCGGTAATGAGTCCTAGAACTCGGCACTCACGCTCGAATGGCTGAAGGTAAGACAGTGCGCATGGAACGATAGGCCGCTCGCACAGCTCGGAAGGTGAAAACAACGATAGGCCGGCACAGCAATAAACACACCACATCGTGCTTATTCGCGGCGGCATGTCTCCCACACTGCACAGAATGCTTGTATGAACAGTTCAAGTGGAATACATATTATGAGGAGGGAACGCAGTAGGTATAGTATAACGAAAGAACAGCCACTCATGCAGAGATGTCCATGTCCTGCGCCCCATCAGCATCCTCGGGCAACTTCGCCAACTCCTTCACCGGAGTCCTGCCGGTGTTATGACCCGCGCCTGACCCCTCATCAGGTTCCTCTTGCCCATCCGCATCGCGATCGCTTTCCCTATCGGTCTCAGCATCCGCCTCCCTGTGATCTCTGGTGGCGAGTCCGTCAGCAGCACCGGAGGGAGCATCGGTGCGCGTCACGATGGGTACCATGTCAACGCCAGCTTCGGCAGGCTTGCCAAGATCGGTGTCGTGGGGCGTGGAGGATACATCCACATGTGCATTGCCGTCGGTCTTATTTTCGTGCCCGTGCGGACGAGGAACAGGCGACGTGCCCACCCCACGAATATCGGCAGCGAGAGGCTCTGGACCAGCAGGGGAAGGGCCGGAGTCAGCACCATGAGAGGTGATGGTCACAGTCGGAGATGTGCCGGCAGCAGGACCGGCAAGGCCAATACCGGTGTGAGCGTCGGAGGAGGTGACAAAGACCGAACTCCCGATTCCCCCGGCACTGCACTGCCGGCAGTACCGTCGGTACTGCCTGTACCGACTCCGAGGCCGCTGTCCGACCAGTCTATTGGCACGGAGCCTATAAGACGTTGAGCACGAAAGTGGCGCGCAAAAAACAAACTACGCACCAGAAGGCGACGTTGACTGCAAATCCTTATGAGTGCCGAACTGGCCGAGATTGGCGATGCGTTCATAAGGGTCGGGCACACCCTGCTGACTGGGACCGGGAATACCAGAGGTGTGGGCTTGAGGGTTAAAGTAGCCACCGTTCTGTGTGTACTCATCTCCGCCATGTGCAGTGAATCCAGCCGGATACTGGGCGAAGGGGTTCACTAGTGAAAGCGTTATCAGCCGATGATACGCAGGGAGTGATCATTACCGGACGTACCGGTGGGGACTGCCGGCCATATGAACTGACTGCCGGCGAACATATTACCGGTATTATCTACACGTCCGCTCTGTTAGCATGCCGGTAATTCAAACTAATGGTGCTTACTAGGATACATAGCAGCCTTCAGAGCCGCGATTTCGTGCGCCATCTCGTGGATCTGCGCTTGCATCGCGCGGATAGTGGCTTCCATGGTGGGAGCGGCCACCAGTGATTCTGGCTGGAAGTCGCGCAAGGGGTCCACTGGAACGCGAGTTGTCAATGGAACGTTTCTAAAGTTGTAACCTGGCGCCGTATAAGCCGACGCCAGGTTAGGGGAAGCATAACATACCAGGCGGTGGAGGTGGCTGGTTGCGCGATCCAATGCCGGTGACGGAGGGCGTACATGAGACTGGCGTCGATGAGACGGACTTCGACCTTCCGGTAACGCGCCTCTTCTTAGCAGCACGTTCGGAAGAGCTGTGGTATCCTATGCCGAAGACATGAACACCGACACACCAGTGATAGATCCGGCCAAGCGTGTAATAGAGGAAGCGGAGTTACTCACCTCCTTCAGCCTCGGTCATTTTTTCGTCATCGTGCTCGCCGTCGCTAGCATCGTCTTCGTCGATCTCGTTGCTTTTTTGCCGTGGCACTGGAATATCTGGGTATAAGCACCGAATGCCGACGGAAGATCACCGACTGCCGATTGCCGACTGCCGAACAGGACAACATGGACCGGTACTCACCGGTATCCTTGTCGGTGTTAGACTTCCTTCCCCTCTGGGTTTCGGGTAGTCCTCAGAGTTCTGCAAAATGACAAAATGATAAGGACCCTCGTGAAGAACCACTGAGATTGCTGCGTACCGGCATCACCTCTACGTCACCAGCGATCCCTCCGAATGGGCGTCCTTCATTCCGCCAATGCAAGTCGATGTGGTACTTGGGGTCGTTGATCATCTTCTGCCGTGTCGCCAGATCGAGTTCGTAGAAGTCCCAGTACCAGTCAAAGAACCAGTCCGCGAGTCCCGAGTCCTGGAGAGCCAAGAGCAAACGAGAAACCAATACCGGGTCTGGATACCGCGCCGGGTTCGCCAACTGAACGAAGGCCCGGTATGAGCGGTATGCCGCGGCGCCGAGCCTACCGTGCCCAATGGGCGAGAGGTCGCAGGCCATCTTCTTCGTGCGGCAAGACTTGCAGTACGACCCGTCGAAGATGAGGATCCGGCAGTCGGTGCCGGCAGCCTTGCAACGTCCACACCGGAAGTGTGCCATTGGCTGCCATTCAAACGGTAAGTACAATCGGCTATGAGAGAAACACATTGGCGACTCACTCCGTCCTTTCGAATCACATAGACCGGGATCCGGCCTTTGTGGTCGGGCAACGGGTCGAAGTTCTTCTCCGGCGCGACATGGTCGGGATGAGCGGGTCGGAGGACTCGCTTCACTGGCTTCTTGGTGGTGGTCTTGCCGCTACCACCGCCGGACGGAGCGTTGTCTTCATCACCGGAATTCGTCCCGGCAGTCCTCGTCACATCACGACTCTGGCTCCTCGCCCTCTTCTTCGGCGTAGCGGTGGTCCTCTTTGGCGGCTCCGGTGCCGCTGATGTCGCCCCCTCGTCTTGGACAGCGGTGGCGTCGTGGGGGTCGCAAAAGACACTGCCTTCTTGGTGATCGAACGTGTCTTTCGTACATCTGAGTGATAGGAGTAAATACGTTTGGCTGTGATTACCGACGGCACACATACCTTGGAGAGGGGTTTCCTCCTCGCTCTCGTCGTCTTCTTCTTCTTCGTTGCTGACATCGTCATCGGTAGTCACCTCTACCGTTGTCGCCCGACCCTTGCCTTTCTTGTCTTTGGTCAGCTGACGACGGCTGGGGCGGTGTTAGCGTAATTCGCAACGTCATGCCGGCACAGTACGGTACTTACGCAGGCTTTGCCGGTTCAGCAGGCTCTAAGAATACAATTAGATCTATTCTGAATGATTTTTTCCGGTACTTACTTTTGATGGGCCGTGACATCCTCGGGTTAAACCTCTTGCGCGCCCCTTCGCAGGTTTTGCGGTCTTGGAACTCACGTCCGTCGTCGTAGCACCGGAAGCGTTGGAGAAGCGGCACTCTTCGTAGTACCGGTAGTCTTTGAACTACCGGTGTTCTCGGTAGCATCGGCAATCTTCGGAACCCCGGCACTCTTCGTACCCTCGGTGCTCTTCGCAGCTCCGGACTTCGTGGTGCTTGACTTGTTAGCTCCTGGGATTAATCATCAGTGGTACTACCGATACTGAACAGACATAAAGCGCACCATCCCCCGTCGACTGTGAGTCTGTCACTGTGGCTTCTACTCAAACCTGAGATTAGAGAATATGGATGGGAGGAAAGAAAGCCGGATGCTTACCGATGTCACACCAACTAAGGTCGACGTCCTGCTCCGGCAAGAGTCCAATCTGGCCGTGGTCATTACCGACTATGTGCAAGTCGAAATTGTACCCAGCCTTCTGAGCAGCCGCGGTGTCGGCAATGGGTACGATCTCGAATGGAGACCCGGCGTATCCAGCGACGTGCCGGGATTTTTCGTACTCGTAGAAGGCGCCGAGGGTGTAGCGCGGCCAGGTGTTTAACTTGAACTGCGCCTGGAAGTCGTAGGCCTTGTCGAGCGCAGCGAAGAACATATTGTACCAGTTCTTCATATTCTCGTGCCCGAGCTTGGTCTGACACGGACGGCGAGAGAGCGCGTAGTGGATTTGGGTGACGGCATGGCGCACAGTCAGCATGTCGCTCTCGGATGGGTGGGTGGACATGTCGGGAGATGTTCGGTAGCAAGGCAGAGAGTGGGATGCGGTGATAAGAAGGTAGAGGCGCGTGTGCAGATGGTCAACTCGGTGGTTGGAAGTGGGAGAGTTTGAACACAGCAGGCGCCACGTCTTTCAACATGCCATCGTTGACGTAAAACTGCTCCGATCTGTATCGGGATCACACGCGGAGGTCGGTCACTGCCGACAGTCGAACCAAACGTAATTCATCCCTCCTCCTCACCCCTCTCGCACGATTTCAACCTCCCCCTCTATCTCAATCCACGCCACTGCAAGAAAAACAATGAAGTACAACCTTCGAGTCCTAGGTAATGTGCATTTGTATAGTCCCACAACCAAAATCTTATTCCCTGTCCTGTCTAGTTCCATCACCGGTCGGCGGTAGGTGCCGGCAATGCCACGTCTGCACACACGGCTGACCTCGGTTGCAGATGCTGAAATCAACACCCAGTACGAGGACATCCTCGACGTGTCCTTCGCAAACTGGGAGACAAAGAAAGCGCCAAAGAAGTTGACCCAACAGTTAATCCCCTCAGACGCGATGACTGTCCGCCAGCTTCTCAGCCGGCAGTTTTGCTCTGGGGTGGCCCCACGGCCGTGGGCTGCCGGGAGCCCGCTCTCGTATTCAAGCACCCCACCGGTCGCCGCGGAAGACCTGCCGCCTTGGGTCTTCTGCGTGGACCACTACTCTGCCGACACTGCCGTCCACATACCGAAGGAAGATGCCGTTCTGGCATTACCGAGCACCTTCCGTTCGGTAATCCATCCCGGCGATCGCGGCACCCCGCTACCATTCTGGCTCTTGGACTTGTGGCGACGTCTGCGCAACGTCCATACGGTTCGGTCCAATGTCGAGCGTGGACTGGAGTGGCTCAGCGAAGTTGGACGACAAGAAGAAGTTGACAGAGCGGTCGTCAAAGTACAGACTGCCCGAATGCTCGACCTGCCGGCGTTGCTGCACCCATGGTGCGACCTCTTCTCGCATCTGACCACGGACGACCGTGACCTCAACGACGAGTTGATCGACGCAGTCGTCGCTATCGTGATGCGTCATACCGACCGCCTCACCCGCCCCTCCACGTCTATTCCCCTATCGTGACGCAACTGTCACCGGTAGACTTGGTCGACCTCTTCGGCAAACTCGCCGCTCGAGGTGACTTCGCTACTGACAGCATCATCTGCCTCCCGTGGTATATTGGCGGCGAGTGGGTGTTCGTACTCATCAACATGGCAGGTGATGACATCAGAATCGGTTATTGCATCCCCCAACACAACCACGATGGCTTACTCGAGATCGCCATGCGCACTGCGATCCGGATCGCTCACACGGTGGAAGTGTCGGTGCGCCAGACTCGCACCGACTGGATAGTGCGCAAATATCAGCGTGGGGATGAAGATCAAGAAGCCTCCGTCTTGTCTGGGCTTGCTATCGCTGTAGGATTTCTGAAGAACCTTTTGGAAGGGTTGACGGTTTTCTCGAGCGAAACAGCACAAAGACATCGCATAGAAGTCCTCTTTGCCATCTTGGACCACCACCCTCATGTAAGTCTAGATGAAAGTCACTCCTACATCTCTAAACATGATATCATTTTCAGAATCCGGTCATCTTGGAAGATGAGAAGCTGAGTCTGTGGGAGTCGCAGGACACAGTACGGAGTGGGTCGTTACCGGCCACTTCCGACGGGGAAGATCTCCGCTCGGCATCACCGGTATCGCACTCGGTAGGCTCCGCCGGCCCAGGATCCCCCTCCCCACCGCCAATCTTCTCCCGTACACTGGCGACCGATATGGCGCCTCCTCCGTCACTCCCAGTCTTTACGCGTACCCTAGTACCGGCCACTTCCGACCAGACTGATCGCCACTCGGTATCACCGGTACTCCCCCCAATCCGCCCTGCCGTCTTGACTGGCCCCTCTCCACCGGCAGTCTTCTCCCGGACACTGGTGCCTCCCTTGACAGTCCTTTCCACATCGCCGCCGGTGTTCACGCGGACACTCGAACCAGTGTCGTCTTCCTCGACCGCCCCATCAAAGCCATTTACCCCCCCCGGAGGGCAGAGCCTGATGGGTGGTGTCTCGTCGTCCTCCCCCCTGTCCACAGTTACGCGACCGCTGGCGCGCTCCTCCAGGCCCGACTCTCCACTGTCGGAATTCACTCGGAAGCTCACCATGCCCGTGACTGCCGAACCGTCTCCTCCGGTATTCAGCCGAAGGCTTGCCATTCCGTCGACGACATCCTCTTCGCAGCCGGTATTCACCCGCACACTCGAGTCGCCGTCGGCATCCTTGACCGTCCCAGGCCCACTACCGGCTTTCACACGAGGGCTCACCGTCGAGTCCAAACCGACGTCGTCACAGCCGGTATTCATGCGAATGCTCGCACCTGCCGACGCTTCGCCACCGGCATTCATCCGGCAACTGGCCCGCCCTCCAACACCGACCTCCGCACCACCGGTGTTCACTCGCACACTGTCCAGTGCTGTGGAACCCATGCCACCGGTGTTCGCACGTAGGCTGGCCGTCCCTTCAACCTCCTCGTCCTCACCCCCGGCTTTCACGCGCCAGCTGGCGAATCCTACCATGGGTCCCACCGATGAGAGGATGAATATCGAGGAGCCTGGGCATTCAGTTGCTCCTCCCACCTTCAAACGCTTGTTGAAGCACGTTTCCGAGCGTGAACATAGCGCGGACTCATGATACGGAGGTTAAATGACACTTGGCTTTTTCTTGGTTTGTGAAGTACTGCAATGATTCGAATATGCTTTCGTGCCTTGTATACATAATGCTTTCGTATTTTGTAATGGACTAGCTATGTGAACACAGAACCTGACGTCTGACGGTATGTTTCAATCGTATGACGAGCAATACCGAACACATTATCGGTATCAATGATTACTCAAAACCATGTGCGCACTTGAACCTGTGGAAGACCCGGAAAGGAGCCGCACTTGAAGAAGACACAGGAGCATGGCGTACACTAGTCTTATCGCTACGGGTTAGCCTCAAAATACAGGATAATGAAAGGGGATCGAGCAGGCAGCAGTACTTTCCGTAGCCCAACGGACCAACCGAAATATGCGGCAATGTACTTCATACACCACCGTAATTCCGATGTTTTCCGGCTGACAGGGCTCGTACAGCCGTCTTCGGCGGGGGACACACTCGTACAACCTCGGGTAATAACCAGGATTTCCTGGTTGTAGAGCTGTACTTGTTCTTTACTCGTCACTTGAATACGGCTACTGATAGGTCGCGTTTTATTACCACCACCACGGAAGCCCTTAGGGAAACATCACCTGTCCATGCATTTGAAATACCGAGGCCACTGCCGAGATTGCCTTGGATAACCGCAATGCCGATGTGTGCCGCCTTTGGGGAGCTCGTACGACCGTCTCGGACGGGGTACATGCTCGTACGAGCTCCGGCAGCGTTTGCATTGCCGCGGGGTAACCACCGCACGTACGGCCGTAAAACAAGTCGGTATGTTATCAGGACGGCCGTGGCTACGTACTAAATGCATTACAACAATTCTGGTGTGTGTCGCTTGCCGGAGCTCGTACGACCGTCTCGGACGGGGTACATGTTCGTACGAGCTCCGGCAGTGTGTGCATCGCCGCGGGGTAACCACCGCACGTACGGCCGTAAAACAAGTCGGTATGTGCTCAGAACGTCTGTGGCTACGTACTACATGCATTACCGCAATTCCGGTGCGTGCCAGCTGAGGGAGCTCGTACGACCGTCTCGGACGGGGTACGTGCTCGTACGAGCTCCGGCAGCGTTTGCATCGCCGCGGGGTAACCACCGCACGTACGGCCGTAAAAACAAGTCGGTATGTGCTTAGAACGTCTGTGGCTACGTACTACATGCATTACCGCAATTCCGGTGCGTGCCAGCTGAGGGAGCTCGTACGACCGTCTCGGACGGGGTACGTGCTCGTACGAGCTCCGGCAGTGTTTGCATCGCCACGGGGTAACCACCGCACGTACGGCCGTAAAACAAGTCTGTATGTGCTCAGAACGTCTGTGGCTACGTACTACATGCATTACCGCAATTCCGTTGCGTGCCGCCTTTGGGGAGCTCGTACGACCGTCTCGGACGGGGTACATGATCGGAGCTCGTACGACCGTTACCGACGGTCTACATGACCGGAGCTCGTACGAGCTCGTATCACCGTTACCGACGGCAACATGAGGGGGTCGTACCGCCGTTACCGACGGCTACAGAGGGGGAAGGGGGTCCGATGGAGGGACAACCGTGGCCGAAGGGGAGGGGCAACAACACCGGCAATGGCAATGGAGGCAACAACGGCAGTGCTGGGAGCGCGAGCGGTGGTGGCACTGGGGGCGCGAACGGCGGTAGCAGTGCGGGCACGACGGCCAACAACACCGGAGGTGGCGCGGGCGCAGGAGGAAACGTCAAGAAGGCGGTCGCATTCGTTGCGCTGCACAACATCACAGGCGCGGCGCTTGCTGTCCGCCCCGGCGAATACGTCGAAGTATACGACAGCGGCGCGTCGGCTCACATTTCACCTTACCGGCACCGCTTCTTCAACTACCGCGACCTCACCCCCGCGCGACCCATCACTGCAGCCAACGGAGACACCTTTGACGCTGTCGGAGAAGGCGACATGGAGGTCTGCGTACTCGACGCGGACGGCCTACCGACCACCATCACCCTGCGAGATGTCCTGTACGCGCCAGGGATCGGGTTCTCACTTGTCTCCATTCGCAAGGCCGACGAGGCAGGCTACTCCGCCATCTTCGCGCACGGGGAGTGCCGCCTGCAGTCACGCGAGAGTGGCGACATCGTCGCGCGCATCCCGTCGTACCACGGGCTCTACCAGATCGTCTCGTGCTTCGCCGACGGACATGGAGACACAGCCGCCCCTGAGCCAGGCACCGGAGACGACACGGCTCTGAGCACGCAGCCGGCCAAGCGCGGCCGGCTCACCATCAGCGTGATGGATCTCCACCGGACTATGGGCCACATATCCCTGCGCACGGCCCGCGACATGGTGAAGCACGGTCACGCCGAAGGCATCACGTTGTCAGATACGGACGTCTCGACACAGTGCAAGACTTGCGTACAGGCGAAACTCACGCACAAGGTGATCCCGGACACTGCCCATGGGAGCGCGCACGACATCCCAGTGACGTCATACGGTGACAAACTCCACTCCGACGTATGGGACGCAGGCGAGACCTCCCTGGGGGGCGACCGCAAGGCGGTCGTCTTCATAGACGATCACACTGGATGGGTCCACGCCGCAACGCTCAAGTCCACGTCTGGTACCTATCAAGCGTACCTGGACCTCGAGGCCGAGCTCAAGACCCAGCGTGGGGTCACGCCGAAGTGGCTGCACTCCGATAACGGGCCCGAATTCGTCGGGCTCCGCCCCCACCTCGCGGAGGTTGGCACGCACTGGTCCGCCTCGCAACCGCATACCCCTGCACAGAACGGCCGCGCGGAACGCAGCCTTCGCACGCTGCGTGAGCGCGTATCCGCAATGCTCCTGGACTCTGGGTTACCACTCGGGCTGTGGGCATTCGCGTTCCGCTACGCGGCATTCCTGCACAACCGTACGGCACGTGGCTGTTGAACATTGGATATTGAACATACGTACATTAGGACAGTTTACGCATCCACATGGACTCTGTGAGATACTTCCCATAGTTCCATATGTCACTTCACTGCCTTGTAGTTCCTTATCTCTTCCATTCCGTTCTTCTACGCTTCTCTCTTTGTTCCCTTGTTCCACTTACGGACTTTCTTTGTCTTGAGCGCACAGCCCGCACAGCATCGTATCCATCTTCTGTCCGGTCTGTTCTCTGCGCCATCTATGTCCTCCATCATTCGCTTACGTATGCAGCTCCTGAGATAGATATAAGGAGGACTCTGGCTCGCACTGCTCTTCAGTCGTTCTATCACTGACTGAGGAGTAAGTACCCCACTCTATGCGCTCCTTTATACATATGCTTACTGTATCTGTAGTCGCTCCTCTTCGTGTGCTTACAGGTACTACTTATGCCCTCAATACAGTCGTTCTATCACTGACTGAGGATCGCTCCTCTTCGTGTGCTTACAGTCGGTCCTTGCCTTACTCAGAGTTCATCAGTGGCGGCCCATCCCCTTACGAACAGCGCTTCGGTACACCACCTTACCTCGGCGGTCTGCGCCCGTTCGGCACTCACATGTGCATCTACGTGGAGCACACACGCAAACTAGCCCCCAACACGGAGGACGCGCGCTTCGTAGGGATGAGCCCGCATCACAAGGACTCCGCGCTGGCTTACCTCCCACGTGCGCGCAAGGTCGTCCTCGCGCGTTCATACGTCTGGGACACCGGGGTAGCGCATGGGGAGCCGGAGCCGAGCCTCGACGACGCGGAGCTTGCTCAGAACGCCAGCGATGGGAGCGAGGGGGCGCAGAATGAGGACGTCATGGACGACGCTCCCACCGCGGGCGCACGCGATGAAGGGACAGCTGAGCAGGGGGCGCCCGAGCAGGGGGCGCACGAGCACGAGATGGGCCACGGCACAAACCAGGAGAACGAAGAAGGACAAGAGGAGGGACAGGAGGACGAACGGCGAGAGGAGATCGAGGTGGTGGAGGAAGCGCCGGCCGAGGAAGCACTGGGTCGCGGGCACCGCGTACGCCAGCCCTCGCGCTGGCTGCGCGACATCCAGGACGGGGTCGGAACAACGGACGGGCGCGCACGCGCAAACGCGACACACGCGCAGGACATCATGGGAGACCTCGTCGCACTTGCCAGCGTCATCCCGGACGCCGCGGACACGCCTCAGCCCGAAGTCACCTCCCTCGATGAAGCGTACCGCTGGGCCGCGCACTATGCGCTCGGTCTGGTTCAGCTCGGCGACGACCCAAAGAACTTACGCGAGGCTCAAGCGTCACCATACTGGGGGCAGTGGGAGGAGGCGATCCAACGCGAGATGGACAACCTCCGGCGTCACAACGTCTTCCGCGTTGTCGACCGACCCAACAACGCCAATGTCATCGACACCACTCAAGTGTTCCACCAGAAGCTCGACGCCGAGGGCAATATCAAGGAGTTCAAAGTTCGAGTCGTCGCGCGAGGATTCCAGCAGAAGGACTTTGTCGAAACCTTCTCACCCACCGCGAAGGCAGCCACCATCCGCCTCATGTGCGCGCTCGCTGTGCGCAATGGGTGGCCACTCCTCCAGCTCGACGTCCGCAGCGCCTATCTCCTAGCACCCCTCGAGACTCCCGTCTACGTGCAACCACCCCCAGGCATGCTCGCGCCAGGCGACGAAGGGAAGGTGTGGGTGCTCGACCGCGCACTCTACGGGCTTCCGCAATCCGGCCTCGCGTGGTACGTCAAGTTCAGCGGTGACCTCAAGAAGCTTGGCTTCACGCGCAGCGAACGCGACCACGCACTGTTCACCAAGGGCAAGGCCCAAGTGCGCGTCATGCTCGCGACCATTGTGGACGACATGTTCGCGACCGGCCCGCCTGAGCTACTCGAGCCATTCCGCACCGCGATCAAGAAGTTGTACGACGTGAAGGACATGGGCGAACCGGAATTCGTTGTCGGTATCGAAGTCCACAGGACGCGCGAGCCGGAGCCCGACCGCATCTACTTGTCCCAGCGCGCGGCGATCGACGCGCTCGTGCGCACTCTCGGACTCGTCGGCGCCAAGAGCCTGTCCACGCCCTGGCTCACAGGCACCACTCTGTCCAAAGCACAGTGCCCCACGACCGACGCCGGGATCGCGGAGATGAGGAGGTACCCTTACCGCGAGGGCGTAGGCGCGGCCATGCACATTGCGGTCACCACTCGCCCGGACATCGCATTCACGGTACAGCAGCTCTCCCGGTTCATGGCCAACCCCGGGCGCGAACACTGGGAGGCTCTGAAGCGCCTCGGACGCTATCTCATCGGCACCCGGGAGCTCGCGCTGGTCTACGGGCGCAACCGCGAAGGGCTGGCGGGCTTCACCGACGCGAACTGGGGCACTGGCGACGACAAGCGGCACTCCGTGTGCGGATACATCTTCACCCTGGACGGCGGCGCTGTGTCTTGGTCCGCGAAGCGACAGGCCGTAGTCGCGCTATCGACAACCGAGGCCGAGTACATTGGCCTGACGCACGCGGCCAAGGAGGCTGTCTGGCTGCGCGGATTACTCGTGGAAGTGTATGACCCGGCGTTCGCGGATTACGCCATGCGTCTGTACAGCGACAGCATCTCCGCTCTCGACCTCGCCAAGAACAACGCTTACCACTCGCGCACGAAGCACATCGACCTACGATACCATTACATCCGCGAGTTGGTCGAAGCGAAGGATGTCACGCTTGGATATCGGCGCACGGAGGACATGCCGGCGGACGTGTTCACGAAGGGCTTGGGGCGCTCGCGCATGGACCATCTCGCCGAGCTCTATGGCTTGGTCCCTCTGCCGCGCTGAGGGGGCGTGTTATGGTCAGCGCGCGGGCGGAGCACGCGCGCACTGGGAAGGTCAGCGCGTCCTCGGGGCGGCTGAGCGGGCCGGGCCGGAGAGGGCCGGCTATGGACTTTGATGGCCGACTTCGGACTAATGCGCTCGCGTGGCCCGGGCGCGCGAGCAGTGATCGTTCCCATTCGGAGAGTCCCCGCTTCCAGATATACGGGCGGGGACTCGTCCGGCTTCCTCACGCTTCTTGCTACCATCTGCACGCGTGAGGAAGCTGGTACGTCTCTTATGCTACGCTTGATTATGACCATGCACTCATACATGTACTATGGCAGACACTATCGTCTGCCAGGTGAATATACTCACGCTTCTTGCTACCATCTGCACGCGTGAGGAAGCTGACACTATCGTCTGCCAGACGCTCGTCGTATATCGCCGCTATATCTCCAACACGGACGACACAGATGCGCTCGTTAGACATCCGAATGGCGGAACGTTTCTGCTGTGCATGTGCCAAGGCACAAACAGAAACTGCCCACAACGCCGTGAGTGAGACGTTCAAAGCGACGACACCGAACAGGTGCGTACGAAGTCGAATACCATTCCTACAGCTGAAACGACGAAGACCAAAATGGAGAGCGTTCGGTTTTGGCTCAGGGCGAAGGCGCGCATGGCAGAGAACGCTGAACGCCGGACGAGACTTCTCGTCAATATTGGTTCGAGGTAGTGAGGAAGGAAATGCACACCTGCTGGCGGTAGCAACTGTGTGTATCCGAAGACGACAGTAGTGTATCCGACTGCGATGCAGCTGTTAGGTGCGAAGATGGGCTTCATATCGGAAGTAGGCTTCGTGCAATACTTACGTCTACAAGATGCGACACAGGTGAGCGACTTTTCACAACCATTTGACGAACAAACGAACCTCATCAGAGAATCCGCGAGATTGCACCAAGGATAAAAGCTGGTCAAGTAGCAAGAGATAGCGATTCGTGATGAAGAGGATGGTCGCTCCCGAAACACGCCGTTTCCAGAAGAATTCGACTTCTCTGCTAAACGTCAGAAGGTAGTCAAAGATGATCATTACTGCGATATGTGAGAAACCCATGGTGCTGTTTGTGGAAAGGGATGACTTACCAGCTGCCGCCAATATGATGTAAGACTCGGTGTAGCTGTCATATGAGCGAGGCAATGCAGTGGTAAGCCTGTATAAATTCCGAAACGGTAGTAGTAGGTCACGTAGTGACGTACACGATCGCATATTGCTGGATCATTTGATCTGGGTTGTCATAGCGGGTGGTAGACATTTCGCTCTCGCATGAAAGTTGAAACTGGGAGTGGTGAAAGTAAGAGCAAACAAAGCCAGAGGTGCCACTTGGTGAGAATGTCATCCCTTACATATGTCTCGAGTTCGTGTGATAGATGGTCCAAAATACATCAAAAGAGACTTCTAATCGAAACCGAATGAATGAAACATACCAGGGAAAGATCGCAGCATTCGTGGGTAGTGTTCTGTGATTGATGAAACACTGTGAGTTTATACATGCTAGGCAGTGTTTCAAGACTTCCATTTGCAGAGAAGGCGAGAGTTTGCAGCAAGCGCACTATCCTTGACAGAGGGTGTGAACGCGGGTACGTCATGACCCCGGCCCTGCGGGTAATCAAGAATTAGCCGTTGAAGGGGGTGCTCTACTAGAAAGATTGTAATTTATCCTTTCACTGTCCTCATATTTCGATGACAGCCGCCGCACACTTGGCTCGCCTCAGAGCCAGAACTTCTCGGACGGCGCGATCAAAGGCTCTCCCACGTCAAAGCGCACTCGCTAGCATATGACGGGACTCACTACGTTCTGAAACTTGATATGATCTTAGTACAGAATTGAGGAGTATCGTCAGTTCCCGTTCCGGCCCCTCGCTTAAAACGATGGGTGAATTCCTGAATGATTGATGTGGATAGGTACCTGCAGCAAACGGCGTCTACTTAGCGTCAGTTCTGGCAGAACCGCTCTTTTATCCTCTCACCATCATCGCTCTTCGGCGCGCTCAGATCCCAAGTGACGGGCGGCCACGCAGACTTGTCGGGCCCCACCGCGGCTTGACGCTTGGTAAATAGTTCTAGTGGTAGTAGACTCTCCAGAGCTGGGCACGCTCGTCTTGTTGAAGCTGACCGACCCGGGAAGACATTGCGCAAGGACGCGCTCGACGAACTCGAGCATGATCCGAGTGGGCGGAGGTTGGGCAGGGGGCGCGCCAGTCGTCCACTTCGGCGATTCTTGACGCGTGCCGGCGCGGGACATCAGCGGGGAAGTGCCGAGGGAGATGGACGAACTCGGACGTCGACCGGGGTGCAGTGAGCAGGGGATACTATCGTTGCGGAAGGTCAGACAGAGTAATGGCAAACTTCGGGACTTATGGGGGACGCGCTATGTATTCGCACACGCCGCGCTCGCCTTCTTTCACTACGATCTCGAGAGACCGGAGGAGGGACGCAGGGCGGGAGACGGCGTCGTGCTCAGGTGAGAAGCAGAGGGGAGTGGGAGTCGTCCGGGTCAAATATTATGCTAGTCAACATGAGGGAGACGATACGCGTGCACGGGTTCCGGGCTCAGCGCCGGGGATGGATCCATTGGACGCGCGAGGCGCGGGATGCCGTCGGGGGCTGGAGAAGGGTGCATAGACGGCGGGCGCGCTGTGCGAGTGCGCGCGCATATTGTACATGCCTGGGCCGGGATCAGGAAGGAAACGTTATGCGGGACTCGTCTGTCTGGGAGTGCGTACATTTCTTTCAATTCTCCTCCGGCCTCGCCGTCGGGCCGCAGCGCCGCTCCCTCCAAGTCGTGCCCAGAGGAACCACGCACAACGTGCGCGAGTAGACGACACGTTCCGCTAACATACGGCGGGCAACGGCACAGCGAAGCAGCGTGCTCGCCACGTTTGAGGTCCGTACCGCATCCACATTTCTCCGCACTTCCCGCCCACACGCGCCTGAACTTCTGTCTTGTGTGCTTACCATACGTCCGTACGGCCTCAATCGTGCGCGCTACCGCTCATATCGACACTTCGAGGAATAAAACCCTGCAAAGCAGGACCGATCAGCTCTCGCGTGCACGAGAGACCCCTCAAGCGCGACCAGCGCTTACCGTCGAGGCTCCCTTGCAGCGTCAAAATCAGCACATTCGATGAGCGCCCGGGCCCCCTCGCCGTCCTCCCGCCAGATCTCCACCGGTCTGCGCGCCGCACCCGTGCCCCCGACCCACCACCATCGCTCGTCGCGCGGGACCTCTCCCCGGAGCTCCCGGAGCCTTCGTAGCGCGGGGCGCACGAACTCGCTCGCCAGGCCCCACCGCCGCTCGACGTCGTCCTCGCGCGCGAGCTCCGCCGCGAGCTCTGCGGACATGGTGGGAACGCGCTCCGCGCGTTCCTGCGGGGTGTCGAAGCCGCTCGATGCAGGCATGTAGAAGCGCAGCGCTACGAGCCGGAGCGACGGGGTGGCCGTGACGAGGCGCGGAGGGAGAGCGAGGAGTGCCTCGACGCGGCGGACCTCCGTCGCACGCCGGTCGTCGACCTCGGCCATGCTCGTGGCAAACCGTGAGTGCGTGGGCGGCGGGAAGTGGAGGGTGAGGTGGAGGAGCAAGCCTGAGGCCTGCAGCGCGGGCAGAAGCGAGTCCTGGGCGTGCGAAGCGGTTTAGTTGGCGTGGAGAAAGTGCGCGGGGTAGAAGGACGTACCACGTAATCGCACACCTTGCATCTTGTTACTGCGACCTCGAGAGAGCGGAGGCGAGGCACCGCACTGCCCAAGAATTTCCATACGTACTCCGGTTGAGTCAAGACGGGAATTGTCTGCAGTTTGAGAGCAAAGGGGCGGGTTGCTTCGAGCAGCGGGAGCAAATCGAGGATCTCTGGGCCAGATAGTGACGCCCAACTGCACCCTAACGATACAGAGCTGACGCGGCCCATGGGTCGAGCGGTGTCCTCGGTAACGATAGACTGCGATCGAATAATGAGCTCCTTGAGGTCGGTAGGCCACCGGTCATCGGCCCCCAGAGAGAAGATCGGGTTCTCGCCATACAGCCATAGCGACAATGTGAGAAGATTGGGGCACAGCGTCACGAAACTCGTGGCCACCGCTAAGGAGCATGTGAGGGAGAGGTGGCGGATCGAGGGAAGGCTTCCATAGGGTGTTCTGAAGGCGTTCGGTAGCACGGGGACACGGTTGAAGTCGACGGTAAACGTGTATATGCTCGGGGTTGAGGCAAGGACGGAGACGAGTTCCGTAAGCTCGGCGGTGTGATCTGGTTCGTAGTCGGAGTCACCCAACTCGAGAGTTAATGAGGCGATCGTTGAGCTTGAAAACATGACTGGCAGAAGAGAGATCGTCTCAAAGGGGACAGTTAATAGAAACGCTTGCTTGAGGTAGCGCATCGCGCCGATAGCTCGGCTGAGACTTTCTTTGTCTTCTTCGGTGACGAAGGATCCAAAGTGCCAGAGCTCGATGGTGCGGAGGTTTGAGGCGTGGCCGAGAAGTTGGTGCAGAAGCGGCACATCGACTAGTTGAAAGAACTCCGTGACGAAGTGGTGGAGGTGTTGGACGCGAGGGACCTGAGAAACCGGCTCTGGGGCGCGCATGTACTGCCACATGGCATAGGCCTCAAAGGAATCGCCTTCGGGTACAAAACCGTACATGTCTCTGCTCCAGCGCAGACTGGTAAAGACGTGGGAGATGGCGAGTCGATAGGCGCGTTTGGAAGTGTACGCCATCGCGAGTGCCTCCTTCGCAGATATCGATATTCGTCCCGCCTCTCCCACTGAGCGTCCTTTGCGCTCCACTCGTTCGGGCGGTCGTACCAATCGCCTGCGCTTTCATTTTTGCACTCTGGCAAGTGCCTCGGACGCACGACACGCATCGTTGGCTTGCCAGACTCGCTCCACTGACAGCGGGGGAGGTCGACCGCTTGCGCTTTGGTCGTAGTATGTGTGACGGCGTGCAGGGAGCGAGGAGGGCAGGTGGGCGGCGCGAGAGCTGGAGGATGATGGCAGGGCGTGAAGCTTGAGGCTTGAAGGCGGAAACGCATTACGTGCGCGGGCCTTCGCGATTTCCATCCCGATGATGACCGCCGAACAGACGGAGATAGTCTATAGAACGCACGAGTGGGACGCGCGAGTTGTGGCTGGTTGCGGTCGGTAGCAAAGTGCTGACGGATGATGTCTCGATCGCAGGTGATATCGGCGTGGGTGGAAGAGAAGGAAGCGGAGCCCCAGGCTGACCCGGTGGCATTCAGGCTTGGGAGAACGGTACCTCGCTCCCAGCGCCACATGTTTGGGCATCGTGCGTGCTACCGCTCATATCGGTACTTCGCGGAGTAGAATCCTGCACGTACTACCAATCAGCTTCCGCGTATACAGTGCGTCAAGCGCGATAAAACACTCACCGTCAAGGCTTGTCGCAGGGTCAAAGTCTCTGCGTTCGATGAGCTCGCGTGCCCTCTCCCCGGCCTCCCTCCAGATCTCCACCGGGGTGCGCGCCGCGCCGTCGCCCCCTACCCACCACCACCGCTCGTCGCGCGGGATCTCCACCCGCAGCTCCCTCAGCCTCCTCAGCCCCGGGCTGACGAACTCGCTCGTCGGTCCCCACCGCTGCTCGATGGCGTTCTCGCGCGCGAGCTCCGCCATTATCTCCAGGTCGAAGTCCTCGTGCCGCCCGCATCTGGCGTCGAAGATGGTGGATCCGGGGAGGCAAGAGGAGAGCGAGAGGACGCGGAGCGTCGGGACGGCCTCGACGATCCGCAGAGGAAGCGGGCGGAGCGCTTCGACGCGGCGGGATTCGGTCGCGCGCCAACCGTCCACTTCCGCCACGCCCGACGCGTGGTAGTATAGTGGGATCGGCGGGAAGTGCAGGGACAAGTGGACGAGCGCGAACGATTTGGATCGCAGCGCGGCGAGGAGCGGCTCCTGGGTGCGGCGCGGGGGGTCAGTGGTCGGGGAAAAGAGCGGGGAGGGAGGCGCGGCGAGGACGTGACGGACCGTATATTGGCGCAGGTCGCACTCGCCCGGCGCGACGACGATCTCGAGCGAGCGCAGCACGGGCGCGGCACGCCACAGCATGTTCCAGACACGACCCGGGTCCACCATCGTCGGTGTCGTGTGGAGCTCTAGGGCGGTGGGCCGGACGGCCGAAAGAAGCTGGATGGAGTCGTAGAAGCCGGCTGGGCTGGATATCGGCGTGCTCGCCCCATATGCCAACGTGCCGACGCGCCCGATGCGCCCGGCAGTAGTCCATGGGATGAAGGTGGGGGAGGGGACGTCGAGCCGCATGAGTCCGGTAGGCCATCGGTCTTCATCTGCCATGGAAAGTGTTACGGGCCGCTCTCCCTTCGCATTCAGCTGAAGAGACAAGGTGATGGTGTTGGGACACAGGGGGATGATACCAGAGGGGATCTGAGCAAGACAGCGGAAGGAGAGGTGGCGAATGGAGGGAAGGACGGTTTGGATGGGATTAGGGAGTCGGAGGGATCCGTTGGCACGATGTATGAGACGAGGGCGAGGGTGTGTAGGCTCTGCATGGAGGAGAGTCCGGACACGAGGGCCGCGAGGTCGATGTCTCCGGACTCAAAGTACATCTCGTCGAATTCAAGCGTCAATAAGGTCAGGTGCCGACTCGAGAGGATCTCCGGCAGAGCAGCTACCGTCTCAGGACCGACATCTATCAGGCGTGCTTGCTCGAGGTTGTGCATGGCGCCGATAGCGTCTACGAGAAGTCTGTCTTGGTGTACGAAGAACTCGAAGATGTGGATCTCGATAGTGCTGAGGTTGAAGGCTTGGCTGAGAATTTCGCGCAAAGGAGGAACATCGACATCGCAAAAGTGGTGGAGGGTGAAATGGCGGAGGTGCTGGATGCGGGGGACTTGGGAAAACGGCTCTGGTGCGCACATATATCGCGATAGTGCACGTGCTTCGGAGGCATCCTTGTCGTCTACTCCGAGGTCTCTGTCCCAGCACACGTTGGCGAAGACGCGGGATATGGCAAGGGAGTAGGCGTGTCTGGAGGTGGAAGAGATCGCGAGCGCATCGTCGCGGTCGAGGAAGGAGAATATCGCGAGAAGGACGTCGTCGTAGAGAGAGAGGAGGGAGATGGGGTCCATGTTTGCGCACGGACGGACACAAATCGTCGTCGGTAGCTTGGGGGTTGCTTGCGAGCGGTGAGTGTCTAGGCGGAACGTGTGGGAGAAGGCACAGAAAGACGGACTGGAGAGAAATGAGGTCAAGCGGTGGTCGGGAGTGGGAGGAAGCAAAATTGGGTGGGACG